ATTTAGAAGCTCACCACCAAATAACCTGTTATTTTAAGCATGACTGCTTCCGACCAATACTGGGACTCATGAAATGAATGACTGACTGGTTTCAACGTAGAACTTTGCACAGATGTGCAGCAATTTGAGTTGCCAAACTCCCCATATGTAGCACACAAAGCAAGAGAAGACAGTAAAGATAGATTCAAAAGAGAGAGAGAAATAAACAGAAATATGAGGCGAAAAGAATAGCAATATGGAAGAACAATACAGTTTTATTGGATATTATAAATCACGAACAGTAAATGCATCCGCACTATGCATTGAGAACGATTTTGAGCCATATCACCAATTGTCTTCAGCCGTCATTGGTTCTTAGCATCCTGAGGGCTCAAACCAGGAAGTCCACACCTCCCGATCTGGCTTGAACTAACTGTAGATTTCATTGACTGATGAAGCCATGTTTTGGTTTGACCACCACTAACTCTTTTCCAACCTGATCGACCCTATGTCAACTAACACTTCCCATTGAGGAAGGCGATGGCTAGGTGTGCATGCGTAACACATGTCCTAACCATCTCAATTAGTGTAACTTCATATCCCAGTAGAAGCAAGCATTTTAATGTATTTAACATATTCTATCGTAGAGTACTACGTTTTCTGTTTTCGTCACTGAAAAATGTGATGATGAATTATATTTATACAAGGTATATGAAGCTATCATTGGTTAAATAGTGAATTCATGAATAATCCTCATCCAAACATCAATGAAACATCAAAACAAACAGTTCAGCGAAGAGAATGTTCTCAGTAAATTCATTTTCTTTAGCTATATGATCGCATTTTTGTTGTTTACAAATGAGGATAGTATCAAAGGAGATGAATTGACTGGTCAATACTAATCAAATGCATATTTAACTTCTCCTGTGATGATATCTTCTTTTGTGAACAAAAACTGAATTGGCAGAAGTTGGAATTCTTGGACTAGCCATTGTTTCAGGTCCCAGTGGCTCAGTGGTCAACGAGCTCGCAAGCCTTGTAACCAGAAGGTCCTGGGTTCGAACCCCATGGGGTGGGTGCGTACTGGGGAAGAGTCCCAAACTAGGCTGACCAAACACAGATGGCTGTCCTGTAGTCCCAGCTAGATTTCCAATGGTTCTCTAACTGATGTCAGCTCATGATGAAATCCTCCAACCAATCAAAAAAAAATAAATAGTTGTATGTGAATGCGATTATACGGCCTAAAGAAGAGATGAATTCATCCGAAAAGAAGCTCTTCATTAAAAAGTGAATAATAGTTGAAAGTGTCTTTATCAAATTTCACTGATGAAACTAGTTTGTGAAACTTTTAGAATAAATTGCTTCCTCATAAGGGTAGTTGATATATATGCTGTAAGCAAACTGCATTCATTTTATCCAGTATAAACCTTTTGTTTTTTTTTTTTGAAATTTTTCAGTGTAATCTGAATATTTTTCTATTCTTTGTATTTTCTTTTTGTTATTATTGTTGTTGTTGATGCTCAAATATGGTATGCAGACACTATGATCTGACTAAAGGTCAATTGTAAGAAATTCACTCTTCAGATCATGTGCAAAAATGAATAACCAAAGAGAGAGAGAGAGAGATCAAAGACACTGATCAGCGGAATCTTGCACAAAGTACTTCTCATAAGTCTAAATATTGGTTAGACGAAAAAAGAATAAAAAGACACATTAAAGGTCGAAGTAGATGAAAAGATCTATAGTGTGGTATTCTATTTATCATTATATACTGGTAAATAACAAAATGTGAATAGAAGACGATGAACTTCTTTAGTTATTAGTTAATTAAAGATAAAGAGAGAAATGTGATAACTGTTAAATTTTTTTTAAAGTAAACAGAATTAGAATACTTTCTTACAGTATACTGTTAGAGTGTTAGTCAATGTGAGACAATCATAGATAGACTAATGAATGAATGAATGACATATCTAGTCGCCTACGACGACTAGTTATGTTTTCGTAATTAGTTTAAACTTAAACAGCTCCAAAATGCATTTCCTATAGGCTACTGCAGACTTTCATCAACAATAGCCTTCACTAGCTCGATAAAATGAAGATTAGATAGCCGGTCAGAAAGAATAAGCAATGAAGAACTCTAGTAACTAACCAACCAAGAACTTGTCGCCTAACAGCTATGCACAAAGAGAGCGAGATGGATTGGACATACACTGAGAAGACCACTGAGTGAAATCACGTGCCAGGCAAACCATCGAGTGGAATTCAAATGGGAAATGACGAGTTGGGCGTCTCAGGGTGAAATGGTGAAATGGTGGAAATCATGGGATGAAAAAATCAATGTTTATGGACAACTAAAAAAACCGACTTTAGAGAATGGAGTAAAATGGAAATGTGCTACTCAGGCTATGTTCTACTCCGAACTCAAGGGGATAATAATAAGTTCGAATGAATTGAAATGGTTGAATTATGTGTGTTATGAACACAGGTGTATAAAAAACAAGTTTTGTTAATATAAATCTATTAAGCAATCGAAAATCTTAGCTAGAATACTAGAGAGTGATATATTCAGATTATAAGATATAAGAGGATTTTGGATTAATTTCAGTTGTTAAATTTTCTTTATGAACCAACATCATTTAGAGAAACCGTTGAAAACCAGGGGGGCACTGCACAGCTGTTTCATCATATCCACGACCGCACAAGGGGTCGAGCCTGGAATCTTCATGTTACAAGACCGAGCTCTGTGGGCATTCAACCACTTGGGCTGGAATTCAGTGACGCCTGAATTCTAATTTTGTAAACTCATGATATACCATTGCTCTCACCAGTGCCTTCGATGAGCATTCACTTCACCTTCACATGATGTGAACCCTACTGGTCACGAATTCCCACTGAAGCTTCAGGAAATCCATTCAGTAGCCATCAAAGAGTTGGTGACGACAGAGTTGGAATTCAGATGTTATTGAATTCCAGCCCATGTGGCTATGTGGTCAACGAGGTCGGTCTCGTAACCTGAAGGTCCCGGGTTGTGGGTGCCCACTGGTGGGGACAAAACAGATTTCCAGTGTCCTCTGGTTTACAATGATCTCTCTAACTAATGTTGGTTTATAATGAGAATCTAACAATTGAGAATGATATATGTTTATCGTTTTTTACCTCGTTTGAAAGATTCTATTCTGTTGCTAGGTTTGTAGTCTGATTTTTGGCTTTATTTTGTTCACCTTATCCGTTTGTTTTATTTTGTTCTGGTAAAGTGTATAAAGGAAAGTTCTGTACGATCCTATTTATAGTTTCAGTTAGACAGACATGCCAAAAACATTAAGGCTGTTGTATATGCTGGTGGGATTTTTATACAGTGTTTTTTTTCATCTCAGGAATGGCTACAGCTGTTTGTCTCAAATACTGACACTGTATACTTTTCTTCTCCATTAAAATATTTCTTATTAACGTGTTTTTTCCATTGTGATCTTGTTATGGAACATTGTAACTAACTTAAGTGAACGGTTAACAATATCTAATAACTGAAAACACTCAAATGATGAAAAGACGATAATACAAATCTCGGTATGAATGTAACGCTTTAATTCTTCATACTTCGATCATGAAAATTCAGTAGAGTGCATGCTGTTAACCTTTTTTTATATAGCGTAAATACAATCTATTTCTAGTCAAAATAACTTCTAACGTTTATGGTATATTGTTGATTGTTTTTATTCTTTTACGTCTCCAGTGGAGCATAGAGCTAGAGCTTTCAAGTTTCGGTAGCAGTGGTGTTTATTTTTACAGGATGGGTTGCTAGCCTCATGCCCAACCTTCCCTCTTTACGGGAATTACTACCGGCCAGGGTGAGGTAAAGGAGTGCGTCGGCTGAGGGTCGGACCCCGAACCACATGAGGCGTGGTTGGCGAGCATCCTACCGCTGTGCCACTGACGCAAGGTATATTGCATAATAGTTAAAATCAGACTGTCAAGAGAAAAATGTTTTCAGTCTAAAATTGAATTGGAACTCTTCAACTTTGTGACAATGATAAAGTCATCTTCACATAATGATATTTTTACAAGCTTCATTTAGTTTACATAGAAGACATTTTTCTAAACTAAATAATTTTATTTATGTTAAACACTTAGAACAACAAGTGAAAGATAGGTTGTCATTGTAGATTAGTTGACTTGAAGTGTCAACCGGTAGAGTATACATCTCTCTCTCTCCGTAAAGAAATTATGCCATTAAACTTGAATGGCAGCTTATCGTTATTATTATTATCCCTTTGGGTTTCGAGTGACATATAGGGCTTCAGCAACAAATACATTTTATTCTGTTTTCTGTAGTCTATTTAGTTGGCTCCATGACTGCCCATAAGCCTTTCATCTCCTCCTCGCACGATCTCCTCCATATCACTCTTGGACACCTAACTCGTCGTTTCTCATTCGGTTTCTACTCGAGGGCATGTTTAGCTTGTGATGTCACTCAGAGGTCTCCTCAGTGTATGTCCAATCTACCTCCATTTTCTTTCGTATATTTGTTGGTCAATAGGTTGTCAGCTGGTCCGCTACCTGTTAGAGTTCCTTACTGGCTGACCATATGTTATTCAGCATAAAGTCAGAGAAAAGACGTGTTGATGAAAATATGCAGCAGTCTGTTGGAAGTGCTTTGCATGACAAGACAACCAAGTCTTTGAACTACATAAAAGCACTTATTGAATATTAGTGTTGAAAAACCTGATGTTTTTCCTTGTGCTAAGTGCAGTGGATTTCCACACTGCTTTTCTTATCATGGCTTTGATATCCTCATCTGTGTCGCCTGTGACATTTAAGTCATAAGTTGGATTACTTATTCAAAACCACCAGAGATTGACGTTGAGTAATCAAGAAAAATCTCCTTTCTTCATCTATTTCTCATACTTGTACATTTGTGTAAGCTTTTAGTCACTTATTTCTAATACTTTTCACTACTATTTTTATTTACATGTTATATTTTAGCTTAATTGGTTTTATTTCTTTCAATTTTCTATTCCTTATAGAATAACTATATTGATAAAACACAATTAATAGATGATTTGAAGTCAATATCACCAGTATACTCTTCTCCGTCATCATCTTCAATAACATCAATACCGGCAACAATGAGTACACATATACCCTTTAAAAAATCTGATACAGTAACAGAAGAAGATGAACAAGGTAATTTTATTCATGATAGTTGCAAAATGTTTTAAATATATTTTAAAGTACATATTTATTCAAAAATAATAATTTAAATTAAATGATCTCTTGTCATTTCCTATATATATATATATATATATATATATACTGTGATTTCTATGTTGCTCTGATTTTTCTAAATTCTCTGGCTTTCTCAGTGGAACATAAGGCTTCAAGCCTTGAAGTTTCAGTGGCAGGTGGTGTTGTTTTCTGTACAGTACAGGGTTGTTAGACTCATACTCAACCTCCACTTCTTCTCAAGCTTACTAGCGGTTTGTCGAGGTTTAGGAATGTGTCGGTAGGGTATCGAACCCCGACCATATGGGTGGTTGGTCAGCATTCTTGCTTTCCCGCGGTGGAACACCTGTAGTGTAATGACGATTTAACCTACGTTTCAAAAACACTTCAGACACACACACAGTGTGAGTTTGTCACCTATGCTCATTTATTACTATAAATATAAATTTGTAATGAACGACGGTATGGTTTATTAATCAGAGGAAAATGTGTTGAAGGATAGAATGTACTGGGAACTAGTTGATGAGTTAAGTAAACTAGATATGAAAATCTTCCGAATTTGATTATTTTTTTAGGTTGATCGCAAAAGGTAACTAACACTTATCTTCGCCTTAAAAATCCCAAATAATTGGCTGGAAGCCTCTGTCTTAGGCGTAAAATAACACAGAAAATATTTAGATACTATGTTGCATTGGTTTTAGCAGTTGTTTGTCGAATTCTGTCCAATGTCATTTGTTAAGTTTTGGTACTAAGCATTAGGATCTAGTCGTCAGAAGTCCCTGAACCTGTGTTTCTTACTTATTTTGAAAAATGTACACCTGTAACTTCAAGGAAACTAATGCTCTTCCTCAAATTTTAATCTCAGCTATCTGATTTCAAAGTCAGTGGCTTTATTATTGAACAGTTCAGGCCACAACCTCCTGTACACTTACAATCCAGATAACCCTATTTAAGCTCTATGTGATGTATATTCGAGTTTTAAAGGAAACACCATCCTCCATGAGATTGTGAATGTGCTTCGCTGATGAATAACTCCCAGTGTCTAGCACCGAACGAAGTACGACTCATGACATTGTTGCGTAAATTAGCGTAGTAACTTCATTGCACACCTAATCGGTAGATCTTAATCAGCAAACTTAGAAACAGATATAAACATCAGTTCCCATTTGGTGACTAGTTTATATAAACAAACTGATTACTTTACAAGGAGTAATATTTTTATGAAAATATTACTCCTTGGTCAGTAGAATACTCGCCGACCACGCATGTGGTCCGGGGTTCGATCCCCGGCCGACGTACTCCTTTACCTCACTAAGCCAGTAATAAGACTGGTAAAGAGAGAAGGTTGGGCATGAGGTTAGCAACCCCATCCTGTGAAAATAAGCACCACTGCTACCGAAACTTCAAAGCTCTAGCTTGAATTCCTATGTTCCACTGGGAGCGTAAGGGAATAAAAAAATATTTTCGGAAATTATGATTATTATAAGCCGAAAGTAGTGTGGTGGAAGGATAGACTGAATGGATACCATAATATATTTTTCATTTACTTCTAAATGTGCGACGTCAACTGTGCCTTGAGTTGAATCTGAAATCTAGGATATACTGAAGTTTTTGTTTTCTGCAGCCAGACAGTGCGCGTATTCGTAGTGAAGGCTACCTCAATGATTTCTAACGCTTGGCCTAGCGGTCAGTGTTTTCGGCTGTCACTCAGACAGAACGGGTTCAACTCCTGGTGCGGCAATGTGTTTTGTGGGGAGGGAGAGGCCGAGTGTTAGTTGGACTGACAAGAAGACACTGGAAGATATAAACTTCGCCGATGATTTATGTTTAGTGAAAATCAATAAGTCGGAAGGAGGAGCTACGAAGACAGGACTTCAGGTGAACATGGAGAAAATAGACGTGATGAAGATACCTAACCAACAACAAGAAGCATCAGTCACCGTCAGTCGGAGAAATCGAAAGGCGGTCGCCTATTTCATTTACCTTGACATCATCATTTCAGCTACAGGCAGCATAGATGTAGATGTCAAAGTTATCCAGGATGATAAAAGCAATACAGGCCTTCATTAATCTGAAATCATTGTGGAGATTTGCTGCACTCAGAATAAGAAATAAGATCTAGATCTTCAACACTAATGTTAAGTCAGTGCATCCAAATGGTTTAGAGACTCGGTGCACATGTCACCAAAATCATTTCCAACAGCCAGTTGACTTTTATCGACATCTGCCTTCTCTCTATACAGAAGATCAGATGACTGGTCAGAAAGGATAATCAACAAGAAACTCTGCAGTGCAAGAAACGAACCAAGAACCTATCGTCCAACAAATATGCAGATGGAATTGTAGTTGGATTGGACGTACACTGAGCGAGACCATCGGGTGACGTCACGTGCCAGGCATTCGAGTGGAACACGAATGGGAAACGATAAATTTGGCGTGGGTCCTTGGATCACATGGTAGAGATCATGTGAGGAGGAGATGCAAGCATGTAGTTAGTCGTAGAGCCAACCAAATAGGACTGTAGAGAGCAGGATGAAATGGAGGTGCGATGTTCCACTCGGAATCCAAGTGAATAATAATAATGATAGCAGCCTGAGGTAGTTATCCCATTTTGTCCCTATTCGTCTATAAACAAGGCGAGGAGATTATTACACTTAGCAAAACTACTCATGTATTACAAATAAAATGGTGCAAGCCTGTAAATCACTAACTGCAGTAATTATTTCATCCACCGCACCAAAATATTACTTATAAGTACTGTTGGATAGATTTCAACAGCTGAAATAAATATCTCATTATCATAACCGTGTTCATTGTGAAAACACAAATTTTTATATGGTGGTTCACTATTATTTTTCCGTAAAATATTTGATAAGTTTTATCAGTAGTATATAAAGAGACGTTCATAGGCATAAAAACATCAAATAGCACGGAGATAAATTTGATGTCAGAGAAAGCGAATGATACAGTGTTGCGGAGATACATGGGAGAAGTGAACGGAGCACAAAGAAAAACAATGTGAAGGAAGGGCAGATGTAGCACAACACGGGAGATCTATGCAAATGGTGATTTGAAGATAAGGTGTACATAATTTGGCTATATAGAGATACCAAATTGCTAATAAATATTCCTTTACCAAGTCTTCTGTCTTCTACCGTTACAAACGATAACAAAACATATATATAAATATCAAAGCATAGTTGCAATTGCATTCTTATGCTCTTTTATGTGTGAAAGCCACAATGAAACATCACGTTATTTATTTTTATTTATTTTCATTGTTTTACAACTATGTTAACAATGAAGTCTTTGATCCTTACTATTCATACTAATGTTGTTTTGTTGATATATGTATAAATAAAAGCAAACGCGTTCATCATCAGATGACGCTTAGACTTCCTTTTCAAAGCTGCTGCTGTTGCTGCTGCCTATTTTGCATTGTTCTCACTAAGGTGATTTCTTTGTTTTCTCAATTTAATTGTTATCACATAATGTAGGTTAAGTACCTTTGTAAAATTGAATTATTCACTAAATAAAACCTGTAAAAATACCTATAGTCTTGACTTCATCTGTGCTATATAAATGTTTCAATATGTCTGTTCAGTTTTTTCTTTAGTAACAGAGCAAAAAAGTTTCTTCTACAAGCCTTCTATCAAGGATGTTTAATCGATTATATCTGAATAGTATGTTCAACTTTAGCTGACCAAATTAATCAATAATCAATCAAATTCATATCAGAATACTTCTTTATATTTTACTCCTTTGCTTTCCCAGTGGAACACTGGGCTTCAAGTTAGAGCTTTGGAGTTTCAGTAGTAGTGGTGTGTCTTTTTACGTGATGGGGTTGTCAGTCTCATGCCCAACCTTCCCTCTTTACCGGAGTTAATACCAACTAAGCGAGGTTTAGGAACGCGTCGGCTGGCGATTGAACCCCCGACTATATGCGTGGTTGATGAGTATTCTACCAATGAACCATCGATGCATTGTATGAAGTGCCTTATCAATGATTCCTTATGACTTAATTCCAATTCCCGATATAAGTACTTGACGCCACTACTGGAGAAGGTGTGGAAAGAAGGCAAAGTACCTGAGGATCGGAAGAAAGGATACTTATTCAAACTACCAAAGAAAGGAGACTTAAGTCAATGCAAGAACTGGCGCGGAATTATGCTCCTGTCCATCCCAAGCAAAATACTAAGCCGAATCATCCTGGAGAGAATCAAACATGCCCTGGATGAAAAAATTCGACCGGAACAGGCTGGATTCAGGAGAAACAAGTCATGCATTGATCAAATCGCCACATTACGGATCATCACTGAACAAAGCTTGGAATGGCAGTCACCTCTCTATCTCAACTTCATCGACTTTGAAAACGCCTTCGACAGCGTCAATCGAGAGGTGATTTGGAAACTACTTCGCTACTACGGGGTGCCACTGACAATTATACATCTCATCCAACAGCTGTACGACAATGCTGCATGCCAAGTAATCCACAACGGGAAACTTACGGAATCCTTCGAAGTGAAGATAGGAATAAGACAAGGCTGCCTACTATCTCCAATGATTTTCCTTATTGTGGTAGACTGGGTAATGCGACAAACAGCGGGCAATGAGGAAACAGGCATAAAATGGACTCACACAAAAAACTTGGAGGATCTGGACTTCGCCGATGATATATGTCTGATTTCCCACAAACTGGAAGATATGCAAGCGAAAAGCAACAAGTTGGCGATAGAAGAAGCATCAAAGATAGGACTCCAGGTAAACATAGAGAAAACAGAGGTGATGAAGATTCCTGGGCAACACCACCAACAGCAACAACAACAACAGACAACAATCAGCATAAATGGGAGGAACCTGAAAGAAACAACCTCCTTTACCTACCTACATAGGAAGCATCGTTTCAACTACAGGCAGACGGAACTGACGAGGATATCAAAGCAAGGATCGGAAAAGCAAGACAAGCTTTCACTACTCTCAAGTCTGTGTGGAGGTCAACACTCAGCACTCAGCATGAAAAATAAGATCCGGATTTTCAACTCCAATGTGAAGTCAGTGCTACTTGCTACTAGGATCAGAGACTTGGCGCGTCATAAAGAGCATCTCAAACAAACTACAGACCTTCATTAACAGTTGTCTTCGCTCAATACTCAAGATCAGATGGCCGGCCAGAAAGGATCGGCAACAGAGATCTCTGGGAGCGAACCAACCAGGAACCGATTGTGAAACAAATAGGCAGGAAGAAATGGAGATGGATTGACTGGCCATACTCTGAGGAAACCATCAAGTGACATCACTAGACAAGCCATTGCTCGAGTGGAACCCGAAAGGGAAGTGGCGAGTTGGTCGTCAGTGCAAGGGTGAGGGTGACTTGGAGGAGGTTATGTGAAGAGGAGATGAAAACATGTGGGCAGACTTGGAGCCAGGTGAAGACTGTAGCAGAGAACCGAACGCAATGGAGACGCACGGCTGAAACCCTATGTTCCTCTAGGAATTAAATGAAACAATAATAATAATATAATAATATAAGTACTACTATCTCTGTCTGCTGAATAGATTGAAATTTAATGACATCTCGGAGTTATGAAATTCAGTTGGAATAAAACTGCTAGAATCAATAAAAATCTTAATAACTGTTAGTGTTTAAAATGTTTACTGATAAATAATGAGATACAGGGAGTTATTATAAACCACAATAATGCCATGTCTATTGTTATTTCGACCTATTGGTGTCAACATTGTATCTAGTTTCATCCGGTTACTATTAGATATACAAAATGTCAATTTCCAATCATTTACAAATGAGACAGTCTGGTGAAACTTACGACCTACTGACAGACTGCATCATTTCAAGAAATACTTGTAAACTTTTATCCTAAATTTAACTTTATTTAGTCAGTAGTGTCTATTAAGACCCCTGTAGAGATGTAGTTTTTGGCTTAGGTACTCGTCTTAGGTTCGAACCCATCTCCACCTATTTCAACCTGAGAAAGTGGGTAGTGTCACCAGCTTATAGCCCTGGTACATGGAACATTTGCCTTCAAAACCCCGAATTATAACTATTTAATGCCTTTACTCAGTTGATAGACGTCAATACTTATTCGATTAAAGTTTATAGTTTCTACTTAAGGCTTTTTGTCACTTATTAGCAAAGCGTATCTAATATCTAAAAGAAAATCATTTAGTATAGCTGATCAACTGCTGCATATAATACTACAAGTATATGTGTAATGTAACTCAAACGTTTATTTTGAAAAATCTAGACAAACTTTCTTGAAATTTAATTTATTTCTTCAACAGAACTAATCAGATTACTAGAGAAAAGTTCATTCCTTACCTTCTGTGCAAACATGCACCTAGGCTGATTTACTGATGATTGACTCCACACAACTCATTTACACACAGTTGCATATATATTTATATATACTAACTTGTACACTTTTGTATATTCATATAAGTGACCTGCCAAATAGACTGATATATCATACTCAATATTTCTACTTTGGAATTAACTGTAAATACAATTTCAACTTTATCTTTTGCACACGTGTATCACTGTAGAAATGATAGTTGATTTAACGAAAAGATTAAACAAAACATAAAGTATTAAACGTTTCGTTTTCATTACCATTACAAATAAAGATAAAAAGAAACAATATTACTATTATTCCCTTGGTTTCTTATTGAAACATAACGCTTCAGCAGCACATCTCCATATCACTCTGTTCTCTGCAGTCCTCTTTAGCCGGCTGCACGACTCACCGTAAGCTTTCATCTCCTACTCACACGATCTCCTCGATGGCCTGGCGCGTGAAGTCACTCAGTGGCCTCCTTCAATGTATGTCCAATCCATCTCCATTTCCTTCTGCATTTCTGTTGAGCAATATGTTCTGAATTGGTTCCTTGTCAGAGTTCTCTGTTGCCGATCCTTTCTGGTCACCTGATCTTCAGGATGGACCGGAAGGGATAGGTGTTGATGAAAGTTTGTTGGAAGTACTTTCGAGTCTCTGACTAATGTAACATCAGTGCTAAAGATCCAGATCTTGTTCCTGATATTGATTGCAGCAAACTTCCACACTGGTTTCAGAGTAATAATCCTGGTTGCCTTTGATAGTAGACCACTTTGTCTTACTCATATCTTCACTTAGAAGGCGACCCTGAGCTTTCCGTTGTGAATCCCATAACACGTGGCATCATTATCCAACATGTTTTTTTATTCCTTCACGTTCCCAGTGGAACATAGGGCTTCAAGCTAGAAGTTTCTGTAGCAGTGTTTATTTTTTTTTACAGGATGGGGTCGCTAGCCTCATGCTCAACCTTTTCCTCTTTACCAGCTTTATTTCTGGCTTAGCGAGGTAAAGGAGTGCGTCGGCCGGGGATCGAACCCAGGACCATATGCATGGTCGGCGAGCGTCCTAACCGCTATGCCACCGACGCACTATCCAACATGTTACTTAATAGAAACTATTTTAAACTTCATTATTGGTTTTACAGAAATTAATATTGATATTTTTATGGGGAACACTCCTCCTAGAAAATAGTTTTTACGATATTTACAAAACATATTTTGTAGAAAGAATAATAGAATGAAAAATATCGTTGCCTATATTTACTGTTATGCCTATTAACTGATTTGTGTCTATAGACAAATTATTTTAAAAAGAATAAGGTTATTACATACAAACTATAGCATAACTGAGTGAATTCTAAGGCTTAATTATTCAATATCAAGTTGCATTTTTAAACATCTCTCCATACTGATTCTTTTTCCAAATGAAAGAATTGAATTTCTATAACTTTCAACCGCGGTGACAAGTATAGGCATATATAGGTCATAATAAAACAAATCTTTGAAACGGTAGTTTTTATGAATTGATATGCCATTCATGTTGTGTTGTTTCTTTTTATCTCAACTGAGGTCTGGAGGTTACATATTTCAGCATCTTCAGAATTATTTCTTATTGATTTTATTCCTTTGCGTTTCCAGTAGAACATAGGGCTTCAAGCTTGAGTTTTGAAGTTTCACTAGCGGTGGTATTTAATTTTTACAGGGTGAGGTTGTTAGCCTCACATCCAGCCTTTTCTCTTTAGGAGTGCGTCGGTCGGGAATCGAATCCCGGACCACATGTGTGGTTGGCGAGCATTCTACCACTGAATCGCCAACGTCTAATCTGAAATCTGAGATGTAAATCTAAAAAAGAAAGAGATAATAAGTTGTAAGTCAGTGTTGAGTGATGATAAAGCATACACCTAAGTATGTCAGTTTCAGTGAACTACTAGTCATGATAATTTGTGGCAGTAAATGTTGCTTGATAGTCGTGATTCATACTTTAGGCTGCAGGCTGCACAGTTAAACAAATAAAGTTTCATCGTCATGATTTTATGCTAGTACATATCATCTATAACACATCAAAAATACTTCTTTCTCACTTGTATCCTAGTGGCGCTCATTTAAACTGGTGCTTTTTGGGGATATGCTTCATCATTGCTAGTTAGTGTCTATTGAAGTACAATAGTCTTTTGAATATTGATTAACAGCTCATTTTCTGAATATCCTTCTTCTAATTCGAAGTATTAAACTTTACAATTGTTAGATTTTCGACACGAGCCAACGTCAGTTAAAGAGAGATCATTGAAAACCAGAGAGCACTGGACACCTGTCTCGTCCTTTTCTGAAACTCTTCATCAGTACGCAACCACGACCGCTCTCCTGGGACCACCTTCAGCCTACGAGAGCAAGCTGGTTTTCAGCGGTCTCTCTAACTAATATTGATTCGTGACGAAAATGTAACAAGCTGTAATGAATCCAAAAATCTCCACATATATACTACAATCTGAATATATTAAACTTGTTTTCATGTTTTATTTTCATAATTAAGTTTTTCTCTTTTTCAAACAGACTTTTCCTCTTCAAATACACCATCTCTGAGGCGAACAGTTTCTGTGCATACAACTACAAACGATGAACACTGTAATGCGTCTCAATCAAATACATTTTCATTTCATAGAAGTCAGTCTTGTTCACTGGATATGAAAGAAGCTTATAAATTTGCTGAGGATGAAAATGCTAACATGAAATATGATTTTTCAAATGATAAAAGATCTTCACTACAGTTAAATTTTGAACAAAAAAATGGTATACCCTGTGAATTCTCTTTTCCCTTATCAAATGATGATGATAATGATAATAATAATAATGATAAAACGCAAAAGAAATCAGAAACAATGGATACAAGTCTTCGAACAAGTGATGGTTTATATAAATGTCGTATTTGTAAACGATTATTTGCTAATCGTTATTCCTTAACAGGACATTATAAATCACATTATGAACCAAGTCAAAAACCCTATTGTTGTGATGATTGTGGACAACGTTACACCTCACCCAGCAATCTTCACTATCATCGTGGTCGTAATTGTCCAGTACTAAAACTGAAAGCTATTCGTGAAGGGAAACTAATTCCCACTAGTATACATAATACTAAATTACTCGAATTGAAAGCATTAAGAGCTGTTGAAAGAAAAGCTCTAATGAATAAGTTGAAAGATCAGAATGACTCGAACAACAATAACAACAGTAATAATAATAATAGTAATAATGAAATTAAAGATACTACGTGTGATTCTAATCGTCATCATCCACCAGCACAAAAAAAATCACGTTTCAACGATACCAAGGCTAAAAATCATTTAACTACTTTAAAAACTGACAGTAGTATAGAATGTTTAGATGGAAATTTTATGTTACAAAATCGCCAAAAGTCAAAATCCTGTGATACATCTCAATCATTCAATACTAGTACTATCATTACTACTAGTAGTAGCAATAGTAGTTCTACAAATACTGTTGTCAATACTACTGTTGATAGTAATATTAATAATAATAATGAGAACAGTACTATACAAAACAATGAAGATGGTTTACAAATGCAAGAGATATTACGATTATTTCTTATGCATGCATATCAGTCGGATGAATTACGACAACAGTTAGTATCACTGACATCATCTGCATTACTAAATGCTTTAGTACCAACGAATGGATTTCATCATTCAAGTATGCTGGCTAACCAAACCTCTACATCAAATCAACAATTGTTCAACCTTTTGTCCAGTGTTATCAATTCTAGTAATTCTATAGAAAGAAATTCTATAAATAGTGTGAATAACAATAGTAATCATACTCAGAACGATGCTACTGATGGTGATATGTATATGCATAATAAGTCAACAGTTGGAAGAGTTTTAAGTCAACCGGCTAATTCCTCACCACTGATAGAAGAACCAACAGATCTTACAAGTAGATCAAGTAGATTTGTTCAACATAAGGATCAAGGCATAAACAATGCATGTGGTATACATTGTTCCATGTGTTGTCATGATTCAATTATCTTTCCAGATTATCAAGCATTAAATAAACATATGTTTTTAGTACATGGTAAATATCCAAGATCTTCAACAGGGACAACAGGGACACCGCCGCCACCTTCATCAGTAAGTACACCTACTTCAACGACATCATTTCTTCGGTGTCATTCAATGACTGAATCCTTACCATCAAATACTGATTGGAATATGAGAATTAATAATTCTTCGTCTACTAGTAATTCAGATATATTAATCCAACAATTACATCGATATCAACAAGATAATAATTATAGTACTTCTGATAATAATAGTAATAACACTGACCAATCATCATCTTCACCATCAATAATATCACAGTGGAATAGTAAACCTTCTAGTTTAGTCTCTTGTACAGATTGTGATCGTGAATTTTCAACATATACTGCTTTTCGTGTACATCATACAAAATCACATCAACAGTCTTCTAGTAGACACCAACACCAACACCACCAGCAACAACAACAACAGGCTCATCATCATCAATCACAATATACTAAATCACGATTACGATTAACTGATCAAGGTGTACCAACATCCCTGTCGAATCAATGCGATGTAACATATGTGAGTGATGATAATGATAGTGAGTAATACCCTATCATCAATGACTAGTATTCAAGTGGATAACTAACTATACACACATATAAATTGACACGTCTTTACAAGGTGATTGATTATCTAACAAAAAATAATGAGTAAATCAATTTTGTATTTAAATAAATTATGAACTTTGATACACATTAATACATACGTACGTACATCTAATGGTGTATATTTTTTGCATTGAATTAAGTTTTAAATTTTACACTCAAAGAGAAAAAAACAAACAGAAAAAACTAAAGTTTTCTAAGTTAACTGTTGATATTTCAAGTGTTCTTTTGAAAAAATGAAAAAGAAAAAAAGACACTGTGTTATGTATGTGCGCGTTAACTAGTTAGTGTGTTGATCATCATTGTACAATGAATGAAAATATTGAACACATTTAATGGAATTCAATGTATAGGATATTTTTAAAACAAAAAAATTCAATTAATTAATTCATTAATTAGTCTTTGTTGCCAAAATCTTTATTTACAGTGTTAGTTGTTTGTTTGTTCTTTTTTCTTTTTTTTTGGTTTTATCGACTTGTTATCTTGCTTACAGAATGTGATTCACACCTTTCGGTTGGCCTTTAAATAAAACTCCTTTTCAACAATTCACTGTTATCATCACGGGTGTTATCCCAGTGTGTTATCTGTTAGAATAGTTGTTTAGAACACTCTAATTTCTTAAAAGAGTGTCTCTAGTCTGATTTGGATACATGCCCTGCTACTTATACATATATGTATCGGTGTTAGAGACTAGTGGAATATATATATGATGAATGAAGACTGACTGGATTTTTGCATACACTTATCCCTCTTCTTCCTGTTCTCCTACTTCTTCTTTTTCCCGTTTTATCCTATTTATTATTCAATATTACTACTTTTAAAAATTTATTATTTTTAGTTAAGGTTATTTATTATGCATATATATATATTCCTTTTTTCTACTCGGTTATTTTTCACAATCATTTGTTAATAATAACAAGTGAATAAATAAATTGTTCTCTATTTTCTTGAATAATTGACTAATTCAATCAGTATTGTTGAATATGATAGTGTCATTAGATTTTCGCCCAATCATCATATTACAAGCATTAATTAACCGTTGATTGGACACTAGTGTTACTAGTGTGATGTGTCTAGTCCTTTGTTTTTGCTGCAGACTGGTTTCTGTCAGTCAGGTTTGCAATGTGGCCACCATGCTACTAGGTAACTCACCAACACGGTGCACTGTGAATTGATGGTATTAGATGGTTGGAGGCAATCGGTAGGGAGCCCGGTCTGACTTAGGTTTCGTGCTAGTTGGCACTCGTATATCTAGAAAAACAGAATCAAGAGTAGGCAAGAACAGTCTTCTAGGATGATGTAGATCACATAACCATCTCGAGATAGGGTATGGTTCGTCAATTTCACTTTACAAGTGCTGGTTTGCAGAGGGATTTGATTGGTTACAGGATGTTTCATCATGAGCTTACATTAGTTAGAGAGCCATTGGAAAACCTGGGAGTACTGGGCAGCTGTTTCGTCCTAGTTTGGGACTCTTCACAGTACGCACCCGCCTCCAGGGTTCGAACCCAGAACTTTCTGGTTGCAAGGCCAGCGAGCTCGTAGACCATTAAGCCACTGGGACCCGATCCAATGGCCCATGAATTCTAACTTCTGCCAATTCACGATATAGCGCGACCGCTAGCCAATGTCTTCGGCGAGTATTTGTCCTCAAACCCGACCTGCTGCACCCTACTGGTCATGACTTCTCACTAGAACCCCAGGTAACTACCTACCTGAATAGGGCAAGTCGCTAGTGAGCATCTCATTGATATTCAAGTGTTGGTTTGTAGGGATTTGATTGGTTACAGGATTTTCATCATGAGCTGGCTAGGGGTCGCGCTATGTCGTGAATTTGGCAGAAGTTAGAATTCATGGGCCATTGGATCGGGTCCCAGTGGCTTAATGGTTTACGAGCTCGCTGGCCTTGCAACCAGAAAGTTCTGGGTTCGAACCCTGGAGGCGGGTGCGTACTGTGAAGAGTCCCAAACTAGGACGAAACAGCTATCCAGTACTCCCAGGTTTTCCAATGGTTCTCTAACTAATGTCAGCTCATGATGAAAATCCTGTAAATTTCACTTTTGTCAAACTAATATAAAGTTTATATCTGCCCTGTCCAATTCAGTCTTGGCTACTGGTTCGCGTCATTACAGACCAGTAAAACATGTGTGGCGACCTGAAAACATATCAAATTATATGTTCACGGAAAAAAGAAGGAATTCAACCTGAAACCTTGAACCGCGCGCAAGGAACGAATCGTTCGCCCTCTCTCCGGCTGCTCGCCCAGCACATCTGCTGACCAACGCTGTCTCGCACTGGTTGACACATCCCCTTCGAGAACTTCGCTCCTATCTGCCTTACTCTACGTGGAGACTTCCGACGGTTGACAGCGCTAAGTTGTAGTGGAGAATTTGTATAATCAAGAGAAGGACAATTACATTCCTATAATTTCGTACGTCTATAATTTGTGTATTTTGTGACTGTTATAGTTTTCTTCAAATAAACCCAGTCCCTTTTTTGTGTATATTAACTTAAGTGAACCGAATATTTTATATATACGTATTTGTTAGTACTTGTTCTCTCCTTTTAAGACCATTCGCTGCCGGATGGTAGGCTGTTGTGGAGATATGTTTAACTCCCAGGAGTCTCGTCAGTTCACGAAACAGCGTCGATTGGAATTGAGCACCTCGATCGGATGTAATCGTAGTTGGTACACCGTAATTTGACACCCAGCGGTCGAGGAAAACCAAAGCAACATTTTCGGCCGATATATCGTTCAGGGGGCATGCAATAGCCCAACGAGTAAATCTATCAATGGCTGTCAGGATATGTGTATATCCTCTTGACGTTGGCAATGGTCCTACGATATCTATATGAACGTGCTGAAATCTCCTGTCCGGTAAATCGAACGTTTTTGGCGTTGTGATAGTGTGGCGATGTACTTTGGAGCGTTGGCATTGGAGACATTCTCGTGCCCATCTCCGAATGTCAGAGTTCATTTTAGGCCACACGAAACGTTCGCTGATGAGTCTGACGGTGGCACGTACTCCAGAGTGAGAGAGCGAATGTAAGTGGTCAAATAAAGCTCTTCGGCATTGGAGAGGAACAAACGGACGATTAGTGCCGGTAGAGACATCACGAACTATAGTGGCATCTGATAAGAGAATAGGTACGTCCCTGAGCTGTAAGGAAGAGTTTTCGCGACACTTTCGAAGTTCTGAGTCGTTTCTTTGTAACTGAGCCATCCGGTCAAGACTGACGTCTACGGAAGTTTCAAGCTGGTGTATATCACCTCTTGAAAGAGAATCAGCTACCACGTTTGCGTCCCCTTTGATGTATTGTATGTCAGTTGAAAATTGGGAGATATAGTCTAACTGTCTGGCTTCTCTTGGGGAGTGTTTATCCAGCGAAGTGGTGAAAGCATAGCACAGAGGTTTGTGGTCGGTAAAAATAGTGAAATGACGACCCTGTAGTAAGTAACTGAAGTGTTTGACTGCTAGGTATATAGCCAACAATTCTCTCCCAAAAGTACTGTAACGTGTCTGAGCCGGTTCTAACCTCTTCGAAAAGAAAGCAAGTGGAGTAACGTCACCATTAATTTTCTGCTGTAACACCGCGCCCACAGCTACTTGGGAGGCATCTGTACACAAGATAAGGAATGCGTCGGGGTTGATGTGAGATAACATAGCGACTTTAGATAAAGCGTCTTTCGCGTTGCAGAAAGATTCATGTGCTTGCTCTGACCATTGAAATTTTTTAGGATCACTTTTAAGGAGATCGGTTAAAGGTTGGACGATAGAGGCACACGAAGGAATAAAACGTCGATAGAAATTAAACATCCCCAAAAATTGTCGGACTTTCTTCAAAGAGTCTGGTTGGGGAAAGTTTTTGATTGTATCTATCTTTTCCTCAGTAGGCCTGATTCCCTCGGCAGTTATGTAGTGTCCCAGAAATTGAATAGAAGAGGCACCGAAAATGCACTTCTTAGGATTTATAGCGACACCATACTGTTCGAAACGCTGAAACAAAGTGCTAAGATGAGTCTTATGTTCCTCTTCCGACTTGCTAGCAATTAGTACGTCGTCGATATAAACGAATACAAAGTCAAGGCCCCGCGTGACTTGATCCATGAAGCGCTGAAAAGTTTGTGCAGCGTTTTTCAGCCCGAAAGGCATTCGTAGGAATTCAAACAAGCCAAAAGGTGTTATAATAGCTGTCTTCTCGATGTCCTCAGGAGCGACTGGTATCTGGTGATAAGCTCTGACTAAATCCACTTTGGAGAAAATAGTTTTACCTTGCAGTGTTAGAGAGAAATCATGCAAGTGCGGAATGGGATAACGATCTGGGACAGTGGCGTTATTCAAACGTCGGTAATCCCCACACGGTCGCCAATCATGATCAGCTTTTGGTACCATATGTAATGGTGAGGACCAGGGACTGTTGGATGGCCGGATGATGCCCAATTGCATCATGTGTTCGAATTCAGCTTTGGCTGCTGCTAACTTGTCAGGTGGTAGCCGACGAGGACGTGCTCTGACGGGTTGACCAGTTGTGACAATTTTATGCGTGACAGAATGAGGAACATCTTCGATATTATAAGATGGCTTTAAAATTTTTGGGAAACGATGCAGTAATGTAGAAAACATGCAGTCATCTGGCTTCTCGATGCATATGTTATAAACAGAGTAGTTTGAGATGATTCCGTGAACTTGAAGCTGGGTGCAGTTATCAATCAGCTTTTTCTTGTTGACATCAACCAGCAGATTGAAATTGCTTAAAAAATCAGCACCCAATATGGCATGACTAACATCAGCTACTATGAATATCCATGTAAATCGACGACGTAAACCAAGATCCAAAATAAGTGATTGTTCGCCGTAAGTCCGTATGCTAGTTTGGTTAGCTGCTCGAAGTGAAAGTTTTGCAGCTGTACTAGAAGATCGCCTGGAAAGTGAAGGAGGTATTACACTAACTTCGGCTCCTGTGTCTACCAGGAATAATGTGCCTGTGGTTTTGTCCTTCACGTAGAAAAGGCGACTTGAATGGTTGCCGGTAACAGCTGTCGCCATGACTGTCTGGTTGAGACGTTTCCCCCGAGCCTGATTCTCTTCACTAAAGATGCACGGTCTGACACATTTCAAGGCATGACGTCCAAACTTCCTGTGATACCAACATATATTACTGTCCCTAGAAGACATGCGGGACCTATGTCGGGAGAGAGATCGTCTATATGATTGTGACCGTGCTTGTGAACTCCGCCTCTCGACTCGTCGACCAGATCTAGGTGTTTCCAACTTGTCAAGCCTTGCCGCTAAGTCTGCAATGGCGGTGAGTATTGGTGACGACATTATAGGTGTGAGAATATTGATACAAAGGGGAATACAAATATGAGACCACCAACAAAAACTTGCAATGAAGGTACAAAATAGCAAAAATAAGTATATAGATACGTGAAAACAATCCGTGTTCCAAAACGGGCTCACCAATTAATTGCTGCGATATTTTGATTGAACTAGCGTATACACATATCCTAATACTTCCTCGCGTTTACATTTGTGCCCTAACGTTGCGATTACCCGACATCCGCAACGTAATTCAAAAGGCACTTGCGAAGGAATACGATAGTGTATTGTTGCAGCAATCAACAATTCAAAAATCGAGCGAGCACAAAAAGTATCAATTGTTAACATGCATGATTTAGATTAATAAACAAATGAAAGTACAATTACACAATGAAAGTATAGTACGATTATGAGTAATAAAACGGGTCACTACACATGGTACACATACACCGTATTATTTTTTTCTGAAGATTTAGGCATTTCTTTCTGCCATCGAAAAAACATGATTGCAAATTTCATAATTCGTGAATTATTGAATACCATGTCACTCAGTGTTTCAGTGAAAGTCTTCACTACTATGATTGGATAATAAGTAGTAACTAGTATCTTGCGTATAGTCCTTCGTTTGGTTCAGACTGAATTCTGTCTGTCACTATGCTAGGTGGCCTGCATCAGATGAAC